AAGTTATACGAGCGCCGGCCCAGGCGACGGCCGCGCCCCTGCCGGCACCGGCGGCACCGCAGGTCTTTGCCATCAAGTCCGCCGCGCAGTCCAGCACCAGCGAGAGCGCAGAGGGCGGCTTCCGCCTGGCCGCCGGCTTCGATCGCCCGGGCGACAAGCCTGTGAGCAGCGGGGCGGGAGAGACGGCGCCCCCGGCCGCGCCGGCCACGCCGCCGCGGCAGCAGCAGAACGTCACACCCCGCCGCGTCAGCTTCGCCTTCACCGCGTCGGCGGGGCCGGTGCCCCAGAGACACACCCCGGCCATGTGCCCCCCGCCGGGGTCCGGCCGCCCGCTGCCCAGCGCCATGGTGCAGGCGCCGGGGGTGATGGCGCCGCCGCACCGGCCCTCGGAGGCGGAGGCCGCACAGCACGCGAAGCGGGCGTCGGCGGGACCGGTGGCCCCCAAGAGGACGGGAATGGGGGGCTTCTGCAGGCTCTGGTTTGGCTCCCGCGCCGAGGACGACTGAGGAGGAGGGGGGAGCATGGTCTCCTGCACCACACCCCTGACCCGCCCTCGCCAGACCCTGAACGACCCACCTCCGCTGACGCTGAGTAGCCCTGGCAAATACCAAGGAGCTGCCACTTTTCCCTCTGCTTGCAGACACCACCTTTGCACCCCCCTTTTTGTCCTTCTGTTCTGAGCCCCGCAGTGTTGACGATGGATGCCCCATAGTATGTACAGCGAGTATTGCACCTGAAGCGGGCGAGACAGTAACGGTGGAGGTTCAGCAAAATTCGTACAGAAACGGTGGTGTGATTTGGACAGCACATGGTTCTACTGTACAGGCTGGGTGCAACTCATCCCCGTGACTGTCGCTGCAGGACAGAAGTGTCCCCTGGAATGGTGCCTCTCATGGGTCGATAAAGTCCATGGGCTAGAGGGGTGCAGGTGGCGGCGCGGGCCCTCCTTTCCTTGGACCAGCGCCGTGACCCTTTGTCCCCGCAAGCCGCGCCTCCGCGGCCGCTGCGGCCGCTGCGGCCGCCGCCTCCGGGCCCTGCCCCGCCCTGCACTGGTGCACGATGCTCATGCTGGGCGTGCGCAGGATGGGTGGCGGGGCCGGGGGTGTCCCCGGGACCAGGGCCGGGGGGTAGGGCTGCCAGAGGCCCTCCAGCAGGCCCCCGCCATGCGACGCCGTGGAGATGGGCAGCAGGTGGGCCCCCGCCACGCCAGCGTCCGGCATCGCTCGCAGCGTTGCTCCGGGGTCGCTGGACGGGAGGCCCCAGCGCTGCACGACGCTCCAGGACTCCAGCGTCGCCACCGTGGCAGGAGAGGGCATGGCGAGGCGCAGCAGGCCCAGCGCCAGCGCCTGGCCCACCTGGAGGAACGGCAGGATTGCGCGGAGGGGGATTCGTATCGTCCATGGGGGTCCAGGACCCCGAAGTAATATGTTCGCTGAGCCAGCATGCAGAGCGTGCGACGCAAAATACACAGTCCCAAGCAACTTCTACGCTGCGGGCTCGTCGGCAGGACAGCGGATCTTGCCTCCCTTGATCCCCCTTGGGGCACGCACCAACAGGCCGGACAGGTGCCCCAGGAAGGAGACGTGGGGCACCATGAGCTGGCAGGCCGCCAGGAGCAGCCAGGGGTAGGCGCGGGCAGGGATCGTGACTGCCCCAAACAGGCTGCAGATGTGTGGGTGATGGGAAGTGGGGCCTTGAAGGCAACAGCCCGTTGGGGCTCTTCGGCGCGCGGAACTGGCATATCTCGGCCAGACCCATGCCTTCAAGCCATCCCCAACACCCTCCATGCACCCACACAGATGCACCAACCTGTAGGAGGCAATGTGCGCAACCTCTGCGTGGACCACGATGAGACCAAACAGCACGCCCGAGAAACCCAGAACGCACTGAAAGGACGGCTGCGACCAACTACGGCGGGTCCGGGAAGGTGTAAAGAGGATGGTTTATTGGCTGCAGCCAAGTAGTGGGCCCCTGAGCAAGATTCAACAGACCCTCAAGAAAGGGTGCTCAAGGGTCCTGCCGTCAAACCCAGACGCCACCTTGAACTCGCTGCCCAACGCCCACCCAAGCAGGCGCCAAACTCACACCCACCCTAAAGGCGGCAGGCCCGCGGCGAGGGCGAGGCCCACATACAGGCAGTTGCTCAGCACACTCAGCGTGGCCACCAGCCAAGAGAGCTGCACGCTGCCCAGGAGCCTCTCGAGGGGAACGCCCACTTGCAGCAGGGCAACCATGTTGAATAAAAGGTGGATGCCACCGGTGTGGAACAGCGAAGATGTCAGCAGACGCCAGGCTGGGATCGTGTTGGTGTTGGGGACAGGGGGGGGATGGGAAGGTAGGCGGGTACTCAAAGGCACCCTGATAAGGAGGCGAGCACATGTAAGCCATCACACTCCGGTAGCGCTGCATGGCATCACAGCCCACAGACTATCGTGACAGGCCGGGCCCCTTTGCATTCACCTTGCATGTGCCGCACGACGCGGTCGGCACTGAGGCAAACGTCGATCATGAGACCTCCACCAATGAGGGTGGTGATGCCCAGCAGCAGCGTGCAGGTGACGACGAGCACCCTGCGAACGGAATGGGTGCATACAACTCAGGGGATGAGGCGCCATCGGTACACACGCGATCCGAGCGCGCTACGGCCCAAAGGGGGACCCGCCCTTCCCCACCTCGTGACGGGGGGGATACTCCTGACCCATGCTCGTAGAACAGCTAGAGGCGACGCCTACATGACAAGTGGTTAAGAGACTTGATCAGATGTTGACGAGCGGTACTTACAGGCATCGGCTACCACAGGCACACCAGCACACACCGGCGCACGTCGCCGTTGTGAGTGTGCCCACCTCAGACGACATGATGAACGCCAGAAAGAGTAGCTAGATTGTAGTCCAACACGCCATATTGATGATCAACTCGTCTTCATCGTGAAGGACGGAAGTATACACAACACTGCAAACGACCTCCAAGGACCGATCCCGCGCGCGAAGTGAACGGTGCATGGATCACAAATGCAAGGGACTTTCAACCTGTGTCGGGCAATACGTAAAACATTTATATGCGGAGAAGGATTAGCAGCTAGGAGACCAGCTGCCTGAGTACCCAAGGAATGGCGCTGAGTCTTTACAAGCTCGTGCGACCTTTTGCGTCCACAGTTGTGGGTACGGGGGTTCGGCATCCAAGTGCATGCAATGCAAAGCCTGATTTCAGATTTTAGTAGGAGTGGACTGGTACCACTAAAAATGCGCAGGTCGTCGACTGGCTGTCTTGCGGCTGGAGCCGGCTGCACCACTCCGGACGAGATTGGGAGCTGGACTTGTCAAAGACAGTAGGTGGGCAAACATCGAGCTCCAGCAGCTTAGGAAATGTGACTCAATACGCATACGACCGTACGCCAGGCGAGCCGAGGCGCCCATGGAGGTGGCTGGGGATTTGAGTTCAGAGCCACTGGAGGATGGCGAGGACGACGACGATGGCGAGCAGGACGAGGAGGTGTCACGCAACATCGACACGGCGGGTTGTGACTGGTCAGTGGCGAGGGTGGATGCGGGTCTCTAACTTTGAAGCAGGGTTGGCATGGATGACCTGTGCAGATGAGCATGGGTACTCCGATGTCCAAGTCAGGCTGGAGGGTACTGTTCTAAGATAGACCCACACCCCCCTCCCATTGCCCACGACCTGTCATCCCCTGCACCCAGGGCCGAGAAGTCCCTGGCCGTCGTCCGCTCCCTCCTGGCCGACAGCCCCGAAGCCTCCCTGGAGCTGTATGCCTTCCACGCCCGGCCGGCCCAGAAACACCTGAGCATCCGGCTCGACAAGCTGACAGGTAAGCATGGAGGGGGAGCGAAAGGGGCATGGCAACGAATGGGTGTGTCACTGGCTCCCCTGCTGGTCTCCAGGGGGACACCCTCTGCCTCAGGCCCTCACCTCCAGCCTTTGCACCCCGATCCACCAGACCCCCGGGGTTCGCCCACCCTGGACGACATCTCCGACTTCACGCGGGGCCTGACCGCGGGGCTGGAGGAGGCCCTTGGCGAGGAGGTGGCTGCCTCCCTGCAGTACGAGGTATCCTCGCCGGTGAGGCGGGTGGAGAGTGTGCTGGCGTGCGCGTGTGTCAGCGGCCCCCCACTCGCTCGCACCTGATCAGCCAGCTGTTCCGACTCCCTGAGCATCCGACCACCCACGCAGGGCGCGCTGCGAGCGCTGGCCGTCCCGCGTGAGCTGCACCGCTTCCGGGACGCGCCCATGACGGTGGCGGTGCGCGCCGGGGAAGCCGGGCGGCAGCCGCCGCCCCCCCGCGTCATGCTGTTCCTGGGCGAGGAGGGCGTCGACACCACCTGGCGCCTGCTGGACGTCCCCGAGAACTGGTCGGCGCTGGGCAAGAAGAAAGGGCAGCGCTTGTCCCGCGCCGACCTGGAGGCCCCCGTGCGCATCCCCCTGGCCGACTTGGGCGCCGTCCAGTTCTACCTCGACATCCAGGGACTGTGAGGCGGCCTGGAGTGGCGGCATGCCCGGCGGTTTTCCTTGGCGCCACAATGCCACAGTCACCTCCACGCCGCAGACCTGTAACCCCCCCCCGTCCCTTGAAGTACCCATTCTCCTCTGGCCTGCCACCTGATAGTGCTCGGCATCAACTTGCACAGGGGGGGTCACCAGGGGGCACGGCCCTCACGTCCCAGGACGCGTCGCGGCAGTGCCAGGTGGCGTCGGCCCCCGCCGCCGCCAGCTCGGCGGCCAGCGCGGCGTCAGGCACGGCACGCCAGGTGTGGCACGCGTCGCACTGCACCCAGGCCTGCTCCGCCGCGGGTCGCCCCGCGCCCTCCGCGCCAGCGGGGCTCGGCCCCGCCGGGTCGGGCCCCACCCGCCCCAGCCGCGACCGGCTCGGACGGGCGGCGGCCGACCTGTGTCGCCCGCTGGGCGGCTTTCCAGAGCCTGGGCTGGCGGGCCTGCCCTCGCCCGTCCGCGCGCGCTTGCTTGCCGGCGGGGTCTCCGCGTCGGAGCGCGCGTCCTCGGCGCCGGCGGAGCCTGGGCCGCTGCCGGCCGGGGCGGCCGAGGCGGCGGGGGCGGCGCGTCGAGGTCCCCCCCGTGCCGCCATCCCCCGGCCCCTCCTCGTCCTCACTGGGCCCGCTGTCCTCATCCGCCGCCTCGCTCATGGTGTCGCGCAGCTGACGCCTGGCGAGGGCAGGGCGTGGCACGGGAGGGGCCGCTGAGGGCACATTGCACCCGGGCGCGGCACAGCGCTGTGCTGGGGTGGCACGCCTGGAACCTCCTCCGACACTCCCCGCCCTCCCCCTTTCCCATGCAACCCCCCCCCCTTGCACCTGTACACGTCCAGGGGCTTGCCCTGGTAGAGCACGCTCTTCCAGCCGTCGTCGCCCTGCTTGTCCGGCGTGATCAGGCGTTTGACGTGGATGGAGAAGGCCGAGGCGCTGCCGTAGGCCTTGCCGTCGTAGCGGATGGTGCCGTCTGCCAGCAGGGCCGCGCTGTGCGTGCTGCCCTTGTACAGCACGCTGAGAGCGTCGGGGCCCGGGGTCAGCAGGCCTGCGCTCACCAGGTCGGCCAGGGAGACGGGCCAGGCGCGGGAGGCGCTGCCGCTGGCCTCGCTGGCCGCCGCGGGGCCGCTGCTGCGGGTCTTCAGGCCCGACTTTCGCGCTGCAGGGGTCTTGGCCTCCGCGTCCTCGGCGTCTGCGTGTTGAATTGGCGAGGATTGGGAGTGCTGGCGCGGTGGGGGCGGTCCTGGTCAGCGAGCCGGGCTGCTGTGGCAGCTAGCCCCTGATGCACTCCGCATTCAACACAAGAGGAAGCCCAGCACCACCGCTGGGTCGCACCTGCGGGGTTCTGTCCCAGGACGAAGACGCGGTGGGAGGTGCCGCTGATGAAGGGGCCCGTCAGGTTGTGGCCCTTCAGCCACTCTGGGATGGGGTGTGATGGGGCAGGGGCAGGCGACACTGCGGCCATCCCTGGGCAGAAGATAGTTCAATAGCTACGTATCCGTCTGTGCGGTTGCATGCACCGAGAGGCAAGCGACGCACGGGGTCAAGCTTGGCAGAAGGTCCCGGGAGAACACTGTACGCCTTGCATTGACGGATCACACTCGTGAAGGCCTGCCAGACACGATTGAGGTGACAGGGAGAGTGAGAAGCTCGTGATTGTTGGTGTAGGGAAGTGGCCTCCGCAGCTTCCTGCTAAAATTCGACGGTGTCGTGGAACCTGCAGGGAGGTCCCGGTAGCGGGTGGTTTGCGCGCGCGTGCTCGCACACTTTGCAAGCCTTGACCCATGAAACATGGAATCCTTCCCCAACCTCGCAAAAATGAACTCATCTGCCTTCCCTGCAACATCGGGCTTGCATCTGCGCCGGCAGGGCATGGGCGACAGGCAGGGCACAGGTCTGAGAGAGCCCTTGCTGCCAGCTGTAGCTCACAGGCATGCCACGGGTATCCTGCAAGTCCTTGCTCGCATTAGGCGATATATCATAGAGCTCTTGGCTTACATACTCTATCGAATACAATGTGCGTCTGTTGTTGGGCGAGCTTTGGGGCTGCAGATCAAGCTGGTGCCGTCCCAACCCCTGGCCTTTGATCCCTTCCTTCCAATACATATTGCAGCGCTCCTCTTGCTGGGATCAGACAGCACGCCGCAACTGTCCCCCACTCAGTCTTCGAGGTGGCTGGCGCTGAAGAGAAGGGCCAGCATACAGTATGATGCCGCCGACGCTACCCATGTGGTGCGAGGGTCGGGATGTGGTCCTCCAGCTGGCATCCCGGGGCGCATAAGTGTAGTGGTCAGAGTGTGGCCGGCACATATACACACTTATTTCATACATCCTCCAGGCACTGCTCGGGAGGTTGTGGATCGCAGGCTTCCAAACGGAGGAAGCCATGCCGCGGAGGGTCAAAGCTGAGTGCTGGAAGGATATGGGCTGGCAGAGCGATGACCCGGGGCGTGATTTCCGGTGAGATGAGGTGTGCCTGGGTGGCCCATGGCAGCTGCCTGCTGACAATCCTGCGAGTGTGCAGGCACTGGTGAAAATCTCCAACTCCTTACTGCTCGGTGGACCTTGCACCATAGATTCCGCTCATCGCGTGTCCTCGACAGGGGAGGGGGCCTCCTGAGCCTCGAGTGCCTGGTCTATGCTGCCGAGGAGCACCCAGCCACTTTTCAGAGCCTGATGCAGAAGCGGGACGGCAAGCGCAGTGACTGGGAATACCCCTTTGCTGCCGCCGGGGTCAATCTCACGTTCATGCTCGCGGGTGAGGCCTGGTGCTGGGCAGCATTGCTTGTTGCGGGAAACATTTTGGGAATTCTCTTCCGGGCTTGCATGCAGTACCAGCGGATGAGAATGTAGCAGCAAATCTGCGTGGCCTGAGGTGATATTGTGTGAGTGGCAAGCACCTCCTGTGCATCCCCCAATTCATGCAGGACTGCTGGGACTCTCGCGAGCGTCACCCACCACCCCTGCGGGACGAATATTTGCTTCCTTCCTTGAAGATAGCGATGGTGAGTCATAGCAACCACTTGGCGACTGCTTCCCTGACCAGCACGGCATGAGATGGAGTTTTACTGGAGAATTGACCAATGGAATCACATTGAATTTTGTAACAGCTTCCTCATTGCCCACCATGGACCCAAACCCTGCCTCCAACCTCAGGGTTTGAAGCTTTTGCAAGCCTCGTTGTAGCTGCACAGGTCCTGCTCGACAGGATCTGGCTGGAAAAACGAGCCTCTTACATGGAGTTCCAGGCAGTGCTTAGGTGGGCTGCCAACCTCATCTGAGTAATGCTTGCATCTCTGGTGTGTGCAGGCTCTAGAGGGTTGAGCATGTGCCACTTCATCGCAGAAATTTCCTTCACCTCTTGTTATGCAGGGAGACCCAGGAGCAGCTGGAAGGACAGCTAACCCAGCTACTGCCGGGTCAGGGGCCAGAAGTGCTGCTGCTTCGCTTGAAAGATGACTCCTGAATTGAATACAAGTTGAGGGTAGCTATACAGCATAATCCCCATTGCGCCTAATCCCTCGCGCATTCCCTCTTGTACCTATCCCAGGAACCCGCTCCTGACCTGGCTCTTGCCAAATGAGTTCATTGGCTTCCTTGTCATCAATAACTTGGTGGATGTTTCAACACTGTCAGTATCATGGTGGTTGCGGAGTACCATGGGCCCCACTCTGGGCCGTTCATAAGTAATGGTCTCCAAAAGCAATATGAGTAGCTGATATCCACTCTCCTTCATGGTTCGTTCATACCATCCAGAACACATCCGATCCCATTAGACCTCGGTAATTAAGCTGGATTGGGCGGGAATAGTACTGCGGTGGGTGACCACGTGGGAAGTCCCCGTGACGAACTGTTTTGGATTTCTGCTCAATTTTGTAGAGTTTCGTTCTTGTTATTCATGGAGGAGTGTGTCCCAGGATCTTTGCCTCAAGCCTTCCAGGCCAAGATCGCCAGCTTTTCAGCTGGATAGAAGCATATCATCTGGTTGACCTGGGGTGAACGTGGGTTGAGGACAGTCCTCAAATCTTTCCGGTGGCAAGTAGAACTGCGCTTGAGACGTTCACCGCTTCGACATGCATACTCTTGCATGTCGGTCCCACTTTCCATCCACTCACCTCATGGCTGATGCTGTAGCAGAATGCCTGGCCCATAACCACCTGCCAGTTCCCGGCCCCAAAATGCTTGGCGAGTCCATCCCGAATAGCGTGAGTACACCGCTCCACTTCAGCCCCGTGTTTGTCTACAATGGCACTGCAGATCTCAATGGCCTCCTGTTGGTCGGCCTCGGCCATCGTCGACTCCCGAACGATCGGGAAAGCAGACCCCACCGATTGACTCTGACTATTGAGAGGCATGACACTCGATTGATGATGGGGGTCACAATGCCTTCTGATAGCTTTCCTTAAGATCAATCTACCCTGTAGGAGGCGCGCGAGGTGCAGGTAGTGCCAGTCGACAAGCCAGTGCCAAACGTCGCTCTCCCGTCGCCATGACAGTCGAGCTTCCTCTGGTGCACGCCCATGCGATCACGGCGATACCATTCCATCAAGTGCGATCTCACAAGAATGTAAATTATCAGATAATCTGTCTAGTGGTAATGGACGAAAGAAAGGCTGAGAACTGATCCAACGTGCCGTGAGGGACGGTCTAATCCCACGCCGCCACAGAACGCAAGGGCCCATACAACTTTCGGGGGAGCTTCGACGCAGCATGGCCGAGTTTGGAGTTCCAAACATTCTGGGAGCTTCGTGCGAGATTGTTTATCGGCATCACCAACCAGCGTCTACCTCGATGTGGCTCTGTACACAGTCAAGCGCCTCATGAACTGCTGCCAGAGCCTCAACTTCGCCTTCACACTGGCTACGGCCGTCCAGTAAGGACAAGGCTGCAATTATAGAGTGTGTCCACGGCTAGGGATTAGGGAACTAATACCCAAGGTACAATGTGCCATTGAGCATGGGGCAAATGTTGTCAAGTCAGTACCTCCTTCCAGGCAGGCATGTGCGGCACTTGCCATCCATCCTCACCGCTCATTCCCAAGATGACATTTGTGTTGAGAGGGCTCGCGAACGGAGGCTGATGAGATGGGACATTTGCACGAAAAGGTTTATGAAGCCTCCTGACGAGCTATACCTCACATTCCTCGCGCAGGAGTAGTCCTTTCTACCATCTCGAGACGTACTTAGCTTTGAAATGGGGGGAAAGAATGTGCACAAAGTTGAACTTTACGAATTTTGGGTGGGTGAGCCATTCAGTGGGAAGATTCCCTATCCCACGGTCCCCCTACAGGGCGCGCGAGCCCACCCCAGCTCGTTGTGCGCCAAGGACGCCCCGAGATTATTCCTGTGACCATCAGCGCTGGGACATGGGATTCGCCTGTGCAGCACGATCCTCCTGAGGTGCAGTCGTCACACCAGACCAGCGGAATCGACGCCGGCGAGGCGTGGGATCGTGGGCCATGACGAACAGGGTTTGGCTGAACGTGGCCTACCTGGCTCCGCGCTGGGCCGTGTGGACCCTCCTACTGGTCGTGGCCAGCATAGATGCGTGTCGTCACCGCCATGTTCGGTCCCGGGGCTGGCAGCTCTATGCGGTGCTGGTGCGCTGGGACGGAGGGGCGAGACACCTGCGTGGCACACTGCAGCTGTCCTGAGGCCTCACGTCCTCCCCTCCGCCCACCCTACAGCTCGGAGCCACGGGCCTGTTTGTGGTGCGGGACACCTTCCTCTTCGCCTACGCCGTGTCGGGCGTGGGTCCGGACTGGGCCCGGAGTGCCTGGTTCGGGGCCTACATCTTCTTCTCCAACCTGGCCGAGGCCTACTTCATCTGGATCCTCATCATCATCGCCGCTGGATACTGGTGCGGGGACCTGTGTGTTTTTGATGCAGCAGGCCCTGGGCATCCCGCAGCAGGGAGAGGGGCGGTGGCGCTCCTCTGCTGCCCTGCTCCCGTCTTCCACCCCCATTCCCCCCAACCCCCTCCCGCCCGACTCCACCGCAGCATCACGCGCTCGGACCTGGGCCCCCACCGCGCCGTGGCCATCAGCATCCCCGCCATCGTCTTCGTCACCTCCCTGGTGGTGGACTACGTGCTGTACAGCATGCGCGGCTTCGAGGCCTTCTCAGACCAGAGCGTCACCGTGGTGTGCGTGGAGGGGGTGGAGGACCCGGAGAATCCCTGCACCCCGGGCGAGGAGCTGGGCGCCGCCACGGGCCTCGTCTTCTTCATCTGCATCATGGCCAACATGATGGCGTTCCTGCTGGTGCGTACTTGCCTGTGCGTGCGTGCATGAGGGCAAGGGGGTGTTTTTGGGCGGGATTGGGTGTGTGCAGGGGGCTGCAAGTGCGGGGGAGGGAGGGGGGTGAGGATCAAGTGGGCCTGCAGGCACGGCTGCGAGTGGGGGCAGGTGGGGGAGTGCTGAGCCTGGCCCGATCTGCAAGGACGGTGGGCTGGCGCAGCAGCCAGAGAATGCCAGGGTTCTTGGGGACTGTTTGCAGGGCAGGTGGCGCCATGGCCGGGCATGCGCCGGCGACCCCGCCCCACACGACAAATCCCCGCCCCATCTCCCCCCGCTCCTCCGTGCAGGCCTGGTTCTTCGTGTTTGAGACGGTGCAGAAGGAGCGGGAGCGGCTCGAGGGCGGCGACCCCTACCAGCAGGAGGAAGAGAGCCCCGCCGCCGCGCCGGGGCTGCCCGTCTCGCGTGCGGGGGGCGGGCTCACCAACGGGCACGCGGCGGGCGTGGGGCACGCCGCGGTGCCCACCCAGGTGCTGCTGGAGGAAGGGCGGAACGCGTCGCACCTGTACGGCGCGACGGAGGGGCGCGATGCCGACGAGCCCCGGACGGTGCAGGACCGGATCGAGACGCGGGACAAGCTGCGCCTCATCCGCACCTTCTTCTACGGCGTGTCCACCTACGTCGTGGCCAACCTCTTCGTCATCTTCCTCCCCATCTTCGTGCCCACCGTCGTTGACCGAGTCATCCTGGCGCTCATGGTGGGACTCACAAGGGTTGGGTCAGGGTGGGGGAGAGGGTGTCATTCCCCCAATGTGTTACATAGAAAGGTGTCTCACACATGTCCCTGGGCACCTGCCGCCCCGCCCCACTCTGAACCCGGTTCCCCGCTGCATCGTTCTCCCCGAACCGCGGCCCGCTGCTCATCCCCCCCTCCCCCATTGAACCCCCCCTATCGTTCACAGAACGGCCTGCTTCTCATCTTCGTGAGCGTGCTGCTGTGGACCTTCCGCATGCGGGCGGGCAACGCCTACCTGGTGCTGGGCGAGGCGGTGGGCATGGAGACCACCACCGAACTGGGCGTGCTGAGCGCGCCTCCCAAGCGGGCGGGGCCCTCGCAGCCCGTGGGCGGCGGCGTGTACGACACCGCCTTCACCCTGGACGAGGAGGAGGAGGAGGAGGAGGCGCGGCTGGCGCGGGGGCCCTCCTCCAGCGCGCCGCGCCAGGCCGGCCTGAACCGCAGCGCGGCGCGGAAGGGGGTGGTGGTCACGGACCTCCCCTCCACGCCGCACTGACCGACGTGGATGCGGAGTGGGGGAGGGAGGGTGTGCAGTACCCCGCCCCCTCTCATGCCCCTGTGTCCCCTCTACCCCGTCTCCCCCGCAAGCGTGCCTTCGCCCCCTTCCTGTCCGCTCCTCGGCTGCTCATTCCTGTACGGTCACGATTTTGGCCACGGCGCTGGGTGTGTGAGGAAAGGGGGGAGCACGGGGTGTGGCAGGGGCACTCGGGCGGCTGTACCCTTGGGAGGCAGGGCCCAGCAGGGGTGCGGGTATGGTCGGGCGGTTGGAGTTTCGCCACCGCTGCACATCAGGCCAGTCTGCGCCAGCCAGCGCTGGAGGGAGGGGTCGATCGGAACAGGCCCTGGGCAGCGTAGGGCCCTCCTGGCGCCGCGTCCTGCGCCCAGCACAGCGAGCCGCCGCCTCACTCGCTCGCCCCGGCGCGGCTGCCCCGGGGGCCGTCCCGGCTGTGGACCCTTGGCCGCCCGGGCCCGCGGGGACCGTCCTTGCGCACATACACCGCCAGCAGGCCGTCGTCGTGCGCGCTGGCCACCCAAGTGGCGCAGGTGGAAAGCGCAGCCTGACGCACCAGAGGCAGGCCGCGGCCACTGGCGCGGGGGCGGGGGGGCGGGGTCAGTCGCTCCCTGGGCGACCCCTCATCCACGCCGCCCTCCAGGTCATACAGCAGCGTGTTGCCCTTTCGCGTGCCGATCGCCAGCCTGGCGCACCGGCCATCAAGGCCGAAGCGGAGCCACCACACGCGGTCGCACACCTCCAGCTTCAGGGTCTTAGGCGTTGATTGTTTGGGGGGGAAGGACATCGGTACAAGGGTTGGAGCCGAGGACTGGGCGCATGTGATGCTAGGGAGACGGCGAGTCCACGCGCCTCGCCAGGTCACCTGGGCACCCCCGGCAGGCGCCCCACCCCATCCACCCGCCCACCTGGACCACAGTGAAGCGCCCGTCCTCGATGCCGCGCGGGTTGTGGCTCGCCAGGTCGGCACGCCACAGCAGGGCCTTGTTGTCCACCGACTTGGAGAGCACCAGGTCCCCCACCCAGCGCACGCAGTCCACGTACTGCAGGCCGCCGTGCACCTATTGGTCCAGGGTGGGGGTTTTGGGCAGTTGAGGCGGCCGAGGGGCAAGTCTGGCCAGCAGGGTTGGATCGATCAGACAGGGGCAAGGTACACGAAGGATGACGGATGAGGCCCTGAGCTGTCGCTCCCTCCGATCCCCTCTTTTTGATGAACAAAGCAGCCTGCGCCCCATGGTGTGCGCCTTGGCTCCGCATGCTTACATGGGGCGGGTGCCAGCCATCCCCACCGTCCCCAGTCACACATCCCCTGCACCTGGGCGGTGAAGATGGGGAAGGTGACGAGGCGGACGGGGTAGGCAGCCTCCGGGTCGGTCCAATCCTCGCTGTCCGTGATGAGCGGGAGGTGGGGCGAAAAGTCCCTGCATGGGCGCCAGGGGCGCCCGAGGGTTA